GGCAACATGCTTGCATGAAGTCTGTATACATTGGAGGAGAAAGGTAAACAGTAACACAGCTACAATACCTTCTATCTACAATGGTGACATGCTTGCATGAAGTCTGGTACAACAGTGGCAAAAAAAAGTTGTGGGGGCAACCAACCACTCCTTGTTTCCACTCAAGGCCATTCAATGAGATGAAACCCATGCCAGATGATCTTCCAATGATCAAGAGCCTGAGACTATGTAGGCCATGGACCTAGGGCAATACGAAGTACTACTGTTCAGCTAAGAGAACTTAAGAGGTTTTTTTTTTATTATTATACTCATAGATCAGTGTCTTTCTCAGTCATCATCAGAGAAGTTGTAGTCGATAACTGGACAATGTGTGGAGAGTAAGCATGAGCAAATGTGTGTGTCTCTGTGTCTGCATGTGTTTCCTGTGCATTTTCTTTCTATTTTTCTGCTTGTTTTGACTGTGACTGAGTCTATCATTTTGTTGTTGCCTGCTTGATTTTTAATGAGAGAGAGGAAGAGAGAGAGAGGGTGGGGATGACTTGGGTCGGTGAAGAGGCTCTGGGAGGAGTTGTGTGTGTAAAGATATGATCAAAATATATTACATAAAAATTTATTTTCAATTAAAAAGAGAAAAAAAAAACATTTCTTAGGGCTGAGTGTGATGAGACAAGAGTATAATCCTAGTTCCAAACTAAGCTGGGCTATATAATGGTTTCTGAGTCAAAATAACAAATACATGTTTGTTTGTTTGTTTTAAGGAACAAAAAGAATGTTGTAATGATTATTCTTATCTCTGAATTTTTCACATATGCAGACAAGTAACTTCTCATAAATATTCTTGCATGTTAAAATGATGGGTCATCCCAGAGACACTAAGTAAGAAAGACAACCCAAAGAGTAACAGTAATAGACAAGATCTCCTGAGAAAACTGGGAGCATGGGGGTGGGAGAAGGGAAGGAGGAGAGGAGAAAGGGAGAGAAGAGGAGAACTAGAAGGAATGGGATGGTCAAGATGGGGGAAGGACAGAGATGGAGAACAGCAAAGAGATATCTTGATTAAGGGAGTTATGGAGTTAGCAAGAAATCTAGCACTAGAGAAATTCCCAGGAATCCACAAGAATGACCCCAGCTAAGACCCTAAGTAATAGTAGAGAAGGTGCCTGAACTGGCCTTGCCCTGCAGTCAGATTGATGGCTATCTTAAATGTCATCAGTAACTGATGGAAATAGATGCAGAGAATCACAGCAAACCATTGGGTTGAGCTCCCAAAGTGCAGTCGAAGAGTGGGAGGAGTGAGAATATGAGCAAAGAAGTCAAGACCATGATAAAGATACCCACTAAAACAGCTTACCTGAGCTAATGGAAGCTCTCCAACTCTGGCCTGACAGCAAGGGAACCAGCATAGGCTCAAACTAGGCCCTCTGAATGTGAGTGACAGTTGCATGGCTGGGGCGGACTGTGGGGCCACTGGCAGTGAGACCAGGATGTATCCCTACTTCTTGTTCTGTTTTTTTGGAACGCATTCTCCCTAAAGGGATACCTTGCTCAGTCTAGAAATAGTGGGGAGGGTCTTGGTCCTGCCTCAAAGCAATGTGCTAGGCTTTGCTGACTCCCCAAGGGAAGCCTTACCAGCTCTGAGGAGTGGATAGGGTGGGATGCAGTGGTGGGGCAGAAGATAAAGGGAGCAGCAGGAGGGGAGGGAGTGGGAAATAGATTTGGCATGTAAATGAGAAAAGATAATTTTTAAAAAATAAATAGATTGAGAAATGGAAAAAGACCAGAAATATAAGGTGATAGAAAAAAAAATGATGGGTCATAGAAAAATTAAAAGGTTTTCATGTGAATTATCTAACAACCTTTCATGACGGTGGGACCAATTTGCATTCCAATGAACCGAGAAGTCAAATTTTTATTTTTTTTTTATTTTTCCCCATCATACTGTATAGAGTACTGTAGTTTTACATCTTGTATAAATAACTAGGGCACCACATCAAATTAAAGACTTTTGTACATCACAAAGACAATATGAAAACTAAAAGGACAATCCATAGAAAGAAAATATTTCAATTTATATATCTGATAAAGGTTTTAACATCTGGAATATATAAAGATACTACTTTAAAAATGGGTAAAATAATTGAATCATTTCTTCAAGAAGAAAAAAATAAATGAACAATTAGCATATGAAAAGAAGCTCAATATTTTTTGTGAAATATCATTCTTTGGAGAAATGCAAACATAAACCACAATAAACTATCACTTCGCATCTACTAAGATGGGTATAATGGAAAAAATGATAGGGGATAACAAATGTTGGTAGAAATGAGGCAAAACCGAACCTTCTATGTTCCTCGAGGGGATTAAAAGCGGCACATGTGCCGAGGAAGACCTTCGGCAGTGTCTCAAAAAGTTAATAACCCTGCAATAGCTGGCAATCAGTAGGGAGCCACAGCCGGCCAGCATGTAGAGTAAGACCTCAGAGTGCTCATCTCTAAACAGGATGTCTGTATTAAACCAGTCCCCAAGGAAACAGTGTCCTCCGGACACAGCAGGGCATCTGCACGTGCATCTACAGGGGCAGCATGTGTGAGCCCGGTGCAAGCTCAAGGTGGGCAGGATTCCAAGCCATAGTTGATGGGACATTGGCATTCAGTAGCTCTGGGAGAAGGAGAGTCATCAGTTTTCTTTAATGACATGACCTCGGGTAGGGGGACCACACTCCACGGCAGGCCTCACATTGAGGACAATTTGGGCAACATCAACTGGACTAGATGGGAGCAAGAAAAACAGACTGAGAGGAGGAAAAAGTTGGGTGAGCAGAGAGATGGAGAGGGATCTGGGGGAGTTGGGTCTGGGAATATGAACAGTATATTGAATGAAATTCTCAAAGAATTAATATGTTATTAAAAGAAAATAAATAAGAAGTTGATAGAACCACTCGACTCAGCAATTCCATTCCTAGGTATTTACTCAAGAGAACTGAAAACAGGGATTCAATAGGTTCTTTACTACAGCTCTCCACAGCAATATTAGGCTTGGTAGAGAGCAGGTGAGAATAACTGAAGAGTTGAGCCATTACCAAAACCATTGCCTATTTATGCAGGGAAATACTGTCGAGCCGTCAAAAAGGATGGACTCTGACAAACACTGCAGCATATACGAGCCTTGAGGATGTGCCAAGTGAAACAAGCCAGACACAGGGAACAATTATGTGAGTCTATTCATACAAATATCTAGAATACACAAATTCACAGACACAGGGAACAATTATGTGAATCTATTCATACAAATATCTAGAATACACAAATTCACAGACACAAAGCAGATGTCTTTGTGGTTAGGAGGTCACATTTTAGAGCTGTGACACAGAATTCCAATAGAATGGCAGTATAGTTGCACATTTGATATAATTTAGTTGAACAAACTGAATTTACACTTAAAAATGGTTGCAATGGCAAATTTTGGAGGCATGCTAGTTAATAGCAAAGTATCAGTTTCTATGATGAAGAAGAAAATATGAACTAGAGAGAGGCATTAGGTTTGTCTGGCTTATGTGCTGATCAAATCAGTCATGGAACTGAGGAACAAGCGCAGAATGCAGCTTGCTCTGGCTTCTGCTTCTGACTCCACAGAGGCACCTCTCCAATAGGCGCCAGAAAACAGAACAAACTGCACCAGAAAACACTTTAAAAATGTAGTCATTTCAAAAACACAATAGAAACAAGAATCATGAAAAGAACCAGAGTAAACCAGGAAGAGGCCATGAATAAAAATAAAATCCAAAGTTAACTCAGAAAACAAAGTGCGAAATAAAAGTACTAAGGTATGATCTTTGAAAATACCCTAGATAAATCATTCAAAAACAATGAAGGAAATGCATGCCACAGAAGCTGCCCAGTAAGCAGAAAGTCTTTGTCTCAGTTATATCACAGTGATGGAATTTTAATATACCCTGCATGCAAGTTTATAGCGGAAAAATCAAAAAGCAAAGAGATTTAAAAAAAAAATTTTTTTGATACTGGGATCAAACCCAGGGACTTTGCATGCTCTATCCTCAAGCAACTTTCCCCAGCCCCAAACAGGAAGATTATTAATTGATCAGAAAAAAAGTGGAAAAGTTGAAAAAAAAATCAGTTTCGAGGAAAAGGGACTTAAGTGCCTATTGGAAACAGTCCTGTGGAGTCAAGTGTGGATAAGCAGGCTGAACAGAACTCTAGCCACCAATAGTCAAAGCACCAGGACTATTACAAGCATGATCCTAAAAGCATGTCAGCTCAAAACAAAGCACTAGGTATTTCCAAAGAACAACCCAAAAGATCTGGAAGAAACAGAGTTGGGGCTGCGGACTGTGGTGGTCCAGCTTGCCATCCTCAGTAACAAACAGGTTTAGGTTAGAATGACTTCAAAGTCAGGGTAAGCAAGAAGGCCCAGGCCTGCGCATACCGGGAGGAGGGGGCGACCCCAGCACATTGGCTGCAAGTAAAAAGGTGGGTGGGGAAATGGGGCTTGCAAGGCAGCTCCTGTGTCTGAAAGGGCTTCAGTGCTGATTTCCAGTTCCATTTCTCAGCCCCTTCAGAGCAGTAACTGTTACCTTGGATTTTCTGTCTGTGCAAAGGTCAGTTTGTTTTTAATAAAAGCTGCTAGAGTAGTTTTCTGTGACTTGCATTTTGAATATTATACTGTGTTAACAAAGAAATAAACTCTTTATAATTCCTGAAACACTAAGGAACAATGGACATGTGTTTAATTAATAATAAAAAAGAGAAACAAACGTTGAAGCCACAAATATATTGTAATGCCAACGCCAGGGACAAACAAAGGTAAAAACAAAATGAAGCTAGTGATAAGCTTTAACTTTCTTCCCAACTCTTCCCAAGGAATTCCCACCCTCTCCCTTAGCTTGTTTAAATTCTTTAGGCAGAGAACTAAAGGCTAACTCCCCCCCCAAACAAAAGCCCCTCCTCTCTATTCTTTGATCTTCCTCCTGCAGGGAAGGCCCCTCAGCTTGACAGCCTGGGGAGGCTCAGAGTGGTGGCTCGGGCAGACAGAAGGGCTCCTCGCACAGGAAATGGGGCAGAAGAGCAGAGGGGTGTAAGACATGACCCCCCATAGTGGGGGAAATCAAAGTGGAACCCCGGTGCCAAGGGAAAGCACACTGGTGGCCCTGGGAAGGGAGGCCCAGTTGCCCCCACATTCTCCCTCTGGGAGGTATCACTGGTTGGCCAACTGCCCATCTGGCTCCGGTTAGAAAACCAAACTTGGACCAGATCCTTCTGGAGCCGGAGGCGCCCAGCAATATAGTTGATTTGTTGAGGTGTGGGCTCTGGACACTGCAAGAACAGTTTCTCCAGACTGCTCCCAATGCGCCTCTCTCTGCTAGCACGTCTCCGCTTCCGGGCCTGCTGCAGGATCATCTCCATTCTGCATATGCCCAGAAGGTTCTTCTCATCTACTTCCTCTAGCCACATTTTCAGCAGGGGTCGCAGCTTCCACATGTTGGCAAGGCTGAGCTGCTGGGCCTCGAAGCGGCATATGGTCGTCTGACTGAGAACCTTCCCAAACATAGCTCCTACAGCAAAGCCCACATCGGCCTGTGAGTACCCCAGGGTCATCCTCTTCTGTCTCAGCTCCTTGGCCAGTTGTTCCATCTCCTTCTGAATAGCTGAAACGTCCTCTGGCAGTGCCAAATTTGGCATGTACCTCAGGGCGATGTAGGGTCCTGGGCAGGCATCCTCCGAGGAATTCTGGGACCAGGCCCTGGCTTCACCAGCTCCACAGGGTGCTCTCTCACCTCGGAATTCATAAGGTGAGGGACCCAGAGACACTCCACACACCTCACGGCCTGGACATATGACTGGTGGCCGCACCATTAACCTGCCTGTGGCTGCTTGGCTGCTCAACCAGGTTGGGGTGTTAACTCGCATGGGAACTGGCCCTTCCAGGCCGCCACCACTATTGCCTGGAAGAGGGTAAACGTTTAAAGACTTGAGGGCGGCCATAGGGTGGACAGCACCCACAGAAAAAGTCTGGTAGGAACTGATGGCTCTCGAGGCTTCTGAACAGCCACCAAGCTCGCCCTCGAGCCCCGCCCCCAGTGGGCGGGGACAGCAATGCAAGCAAGTGACTAGATCAAAGTGTTCAGGATCCAAGGCTTGGAGACTGGTAGCTTACTGAGTTCTCAGGGCTGAAAACACAGTCTTTTGTCCTGACCGTTGCTTTTAACTCCTAACTTAGACAAATCTGAAGTTTTGCTCCTCTATGCAGTCAGGTCCTCGGTCTCTACCTGGATCCTATCCTTGAATGGGACCCAAGCATTGACCTTGAGCTACCAGAAAATCAGACGTCCCTTTCTTCTCACGCCTTCCAAACCACCATCTTGGCTTCACAAATACTAATTAGCCACCTCCTATATGTCAGGTCTTGCTGACAGTATCTGTTCATTCATTAGTACTCCATCTCTACTATCTTTTATGTCAAAGTCCCTCCTCTGCATATCCTGAAAACATTTAGTCACACAAGCTTCACTTTCTAACTAGGGTCAGTTTCCTGCCTCAGATTGTAGACTTAGCTCACACTGTGCCGCCACACCCCACTCCTGCACTAGCAGAATTTCTGGAGGAAATCAATGTTTCTCCCAGCACTCTTGCAAACGTGCACTCCTACTCAGCTTCACATTCTAAGCTTCCTCACTCAAATAGATAAAAAAAAAAAAAGTCTGTCATATTTTTCCCCCTAGAGACAGGTTTCTGGGCTTACATGACCTGCAGCTGGCCACTGAGATCACTCCTTGTCCGATCTGGCTCATCAGCATCAGGTACTTCTGTACCTGGCCTCTTTCCTACCAGAGCTACAAAGATCTCTATCTTTCTACCATGCTCCTGGCTTAGGCATTCAGCTCTAGGCCCCAAGTGGAGAAAAGAAAGAAAGAAAGAAAGAAAGAAAGAAAGAAAGAAAGAAAGAAAGAAAGAAAGAAAGAAAGGAAGAAAGAAAGGAAGGAAGGAGAAGAGAAATCTAATAGGTCCAAAACTTCGGAAGAATAAGGGGGAAGATGAAGTGGAGAAGAGTGAGAAAGAAAAAGAGGAAGAGGAAGAAGAGGAAGAAAAAGAGGAAGAGGAAAAAGAAAAGGAAGAAAAAGAAGAGGAGGAGGAGGAGGAGGAGGAGGAGGAGGAAGAACAACAACAACTTTGCTTAGAAGACCTCAGCCTCAGGCCCTCCAATTCAGCTCTGTCTCTACCATGTCTACCGAAATTGGCCTTCTTGAGGTCACTGATAGCCTTCCCAGTATCAAACCCAATAGCATTGTAAGAATCCACATTCTACTAATGTTCTCTGCAGGGCCTGGCAAGAATAAGTATTTCTTTCTGTTCTTCCTTTAAAAGTGTATATGGGGGTATTAGCCAACTTTTCCTTGACTTGTTTCCTGACTTTCACATCTGTGTTTCTGCTGGTCCAAATTCATTATTTCATGCTTCTCCTCCAGAGGCCACATGATCATAAGTCAGACACCCAAGTGTAAACTTGAGAGTTGTTCTTCAACTTTCTGCTATCAGAAAGGCATCAGAAAGTGGCTAGCAAGCCTCTGGAAACAGCACAACTTTCTGTATCTGTGATTTTTCACAGGCACTACAATAAGAACTGGCTTGTAGTAGGTTTCTTCTGCTTTTCTTTCAGGTTCATCTTTCATACTGTTGCTATATATAACCTTTTAAAAGCAAACTCAAACCAATCCAAATCTGAAATAACCAAAGAAAACCTAATGACATCACTTTGGTCTTCAAAGAGCTCCAAAGCCAGCCCCTCTTCTCTCAGCTGGCAATGAGGACGGTTCACAGAACTTTACACTACTTCATTCATTCATCTACTCATTCAGGGACCATTCATCACAGTCTTACCTCATCGGTCAAGAAGAAAACCTGCTCTTTTCCCCTAAAGTTTGTTTGTACCCTGTGAGCCCTTGTTCATGTTCTTCCACCTGCCTGAAATGATTATTCTGCTTCTTAGTCTCATTACTGTTTAGGAGTCTCCTCACATATTCTCACTAGAAAACAATGTCCCTGATCACCCTTGCTACCCTGTTCTCCCTTCTCACCTATTTTATTTTGGCCTTGGCATGTACTGCTATCTAGTAAATATTTATCTATGTGTCCACTGTATGCTTTTTACTGCTGTGTCTATAGTGTCTATTATAGTATCTGGCACATAGAAGGTAGTCAGCGAATAAAGGTAGTGTATCGTACCTTCTTGTTAACCTATAAGACTCAGGTTAGATATCCCCTAATGGAGACATCTCCCCACAAAGAAAAGAGGCTGCTTTGGGAGCATTTCTCTAATAGTTAATTTTATATTTTTGATTCTCTATTGGAGTACACATCAACAATTCTTTTACGTCTCCATCTTTTCAATTTAAGATCATTCTTGGGGGAAACAGCAAGTCTAGAACATGGGAGAACCCTGACTAATATAGTGCACAATACACTTCTGTTGAATGGTGACTTTTATGATATTCACCATAAAGTAATCCCAATGTAACAAGAAGGCTTGACTTTAGGACACTAACATCTCTCCTGTCTTATATTGCAACATGGGACTTGCCATATAACACTCTCAGATTAGGGGGCATTTTGACACTAAATCAGACTCAGAACTACAGAAAATAAGATTGTTGATGTGATGGTTTAAAAGAAAATGGCCCCCAAAGGGAGTGGCACTATTAGGAGCAATGGCTTTGTTAGGGTGGGTATGGCCTTGTTGGAGGAAGCCTAACAGTGTGCAAGTGGGTTTTGAGGTCTCATATACGTTCATGCTATGCCCAGTGTCTCGAACTACTTACTATTGCCTGTTAGTCAACGTACAGGACTCTCAGCTCCTCCTCCAGCACTGTGTCTGCCTGGACACCAGCATGTTGCACCATGATGATAAAATGGTCTAAACCTCTGAAAATGTAAGACACCCCAATCATATGATTTTTATTTATAAGAGTTGCTGCTGTGGTCATGGTGTCTCTTTACAGCAATGAAACCCAACCAAGGTAGTAGATATGATATTGAAGTTCTGAATCAGCAAATCAAATGTCATATCTGCAGACTGAGTAGCTGACTTATTTGAAGTTTAGCAGTTTCTGCCCGAATAAGTCTGGGCTAACGGCAGGATGCTTGTCTTACTGGTGGCTCTCTGGCACTCACAGTACAAAGAGACGTTTATTTATTCATTTATTTTTGTGGTGCTAGGAGAAGAAATGTCAACTTACTATTAAATAAATGAACCTCTGCTGCATCAGTGCTGAAAAGACTTCTAGTTTTCTTGAATTGGATGACAGCCTCTGAAATACAGCTTACAAGGTAAAGAATTGCACTAAGGAATAGCTGAGCTGATAGCTATTCTTTTCACGCATACATGCATGCCCCCTTCCCCTCAACTCACAAAGTAACCAGTGTCTGCGAAGGTGGATCACAAAGAAAGATAAAGGAGAGACAGGACAATTATACATTAAGGTTTGTATAGAAAAAATACCTCACTTGCACAAGAGAACCAGAGAGAAAAGATTCATTAGTTGTTTAAAAACAATAGTTGAATAGAACATTTAGTGAATTGGAAAAAAAAAAGCTGATGAGTTCAAATGAATTTGAACTAAGCTTTATTGTATTAAATGAGTTAAAACAAAGTAGCTAAAAACAATAAATTTAGAAGTGAGGCTATATTAACTCACTGAGTTTTAAAATTAACTTGGGTGTTGTCAATTACTCGGTTGAACCTCATTTGCCTAGTTTGTGCATATGGGGGTTGGGGAATGACAAAATGGAACTGAACTCATACAGCTAAGGAAATCCTGGTATCTCTTTACAAGTGCATTTAATGCACTATGGTAATAGTGTGGTCAGAGGAAATAAGAAGCAGTGTATTTGGTTGGCATAACAGAGATCAGAGGAAGCAACTGTGGGAATACCCAAGACAACCAGTGCTGCTTGGACCAATGACCTTTACCAAATATGGGACCTCTTCATGAGAGCTTAAATTCCAAAGTAAGACTCAGGTCATGCTTCTCCATGGGATCACAGAGAAGCACAAAAAGTATGAGGTCTCTGACTCTCAGGCATTATTCAGGTCAGGAGAACTGACCCAAGACGGAAGTTACAAGCTTCCTATTATTAGCATTTTTGGAACTAAGGATAGTGCTCTGAAAAAGGTGTTTTAGGTGGAAACGCAAATGTACCAAGTATAAGGATTTGTATTCCTGAGTTTTCTTTAAATCTCTCATTCTCAGAAGGTAAATATAACTATCAGGATCCACTGGTTGAGAATCAGAAAAAAAAATAAAAGTTTTGGTAATGAATAACCCTGTAGGATGTAGTTCATCTTTTGGGGAGGTCTTGCTCATGTATTCTGACACACACCATCTCCCTCCCAGCTGGACTTTTACATGTATTTTCTGCCTTAAACTCAGAGTTCCAGCTGGGAGATATGGAACTTGCCGGGGACTGTGATACAGATTAATTTGTATGTATATGTCAACCAGTGTGTTAATACCTTCATGAGCTATCTACACTGGTCTGAGGATAGTAAATTCAATGAAAACAAAACAACTGCTTGTGTGTAGCACAAATAATAAAAAACCCAGAAACAGAAAATGGTCTTCAACCCCGAAACCAGGAAAGCAAGGCTCCCAAGCCACTAGAGAAGTCTTACCTCTTTCAAGGCTGGGGCAACCATAAACAAAGCAGATTAACCCTCTCTCTCCTCCCATTTTATATTCACTCTACTGCTGGGATTAAAGGTTTGTGACTCCCTAAGACTTGGATTAAAGGTGTGAGCCACCACCACCTGAATTTGTTTCTGCGTTGATCTTGTGTAGCCCAGGGTAGCCTTGAACTCACAGATCCATCTGACTGTCTCCCAAAAGCTGGGATTAAAAGTATGTGCCATTGTTGCCTGACCTCTAGTGGCTTTAGCTTTGCCTCTGGTCTTCAGGCAAAATTTATTGATCAAAATACAAGTAATATACTACTATACTACTACACTTGTGCGGGTGACTCATTAATTTACCATCAGTAATTCCATTGGCTAGCAAGATGATGATTTTAATTTTTCAAATGTACATTTTGAAAGTGCTTCATGCTTCAGAAAGAAAGGATTTGCTCAAGAGTGTGCAAGACAAAGGGCTGGAGAGATGGCTCACTGGTTAAAAGTACCAGGTGCTTTTGTACAAATCAGGATTGGATTATGGCATACAAATGGAGGTTCACAACTAACCGTAATTCAAGTTCCAGGGGCTCCAACATCTATTCTGGCCTTCTAGGGAACCAGCCAGGCACATGATGCACATACATGCATACAGGTAAACACTCATATGCATAAATAAAAAGAAATAAACCTTTAAAAAAGTACATCACATGAAAGCAGCAGAAGCATTTGGGAAAGGCAGTGGGAAGAAGTACAAGGAAGAGGGAGAAGAGCAAACTTGGGTATAGGTAAAATGCCAGAGTGGACTGTGTGAATGTACTGAAACCAATGAAACCAGGTATTTTATGCAACTGGTATATGACAGTAAATATAGAGTATATGAGAAGGTATATGTATAATATAGAGTATATGTATATGTATAATATAGAGTATATGAGAAGTATATGAGAAGGTATGTCAGTAAATATAGAGTATATGAGAAGGTCTAGTTTACTAGTAGTATCATAAAGAAACTAAGCCTATTTTGATCCAATTAAATTATCAGAGCTAGCCAAGAATTATGCCAAAGTTAGATAGAAAAAAAGCAAAGTAGACTGAGTTGTTCTGGTCTTTTATTTTTCCCACTCTGTAGGCATCAGGTGAGTTAGCACTTGTGAGACACCAGGGCATTTAGACACTCTCCTTTGGAAGGGTAGATATCGGGCTGCAATATCTAGAATGGTCAAGGAGCAGCATCAAAAGCAACCACAGGAAAAAGGAGTCAGAGACTAGTAACAGAAAAGTCTTCCAGATCTAAAAAGTGAAGTTAGGATTGTAGAAAACTCTAGTAATTAATATTATAAAGATACATTCATTGTATCCTCTAAAAAGTGAATTAACACAATATAAGAAATTAGTTAATTCAAGACAACCTGAAAATATATCACAGTGATCACACTGCCACTCTGCCTGTGGGTTTTAAGTATACAACTGTATAAAGCAAAATGAGATGGCAAAAAATAAGTTATGAATTTAAGAAAAATTAATGAAGCATTAGGAATGTGCAGGTTGTTACCACATTGAAAAGGCTAGTCAGAGTAATGCAGAGATTAACTAGCTTCATATCTTGCTGTTTGAGATAATTTTCACAGCAGGTAAAACACAGTAGTGTTTGCATTGCAGGTAATACTGCATTGCAGGTAACAGTGTTCTGCACTGGGATGATGTGATAAGATCATGGGTGGCCAAGCAGTGGGCCGAGCTCTAGGAGTCCTCCTGAAGACATGAATGAGTTCAAGTCAGGGCAGTCAAGGTCATGATGTAGGAACCCACAAAGACAGCTGACCAGAGTTCCTGGGAACACATGGACTCTGTGGACCAACAGTTAGGGAGCTTGCATGGGACCCACCTAAGCCCTCTGCATGTGTGTGTGGCAGCTGTGTGGCTTGGTCTGTTTGTAAGGCTCCAAAGTAGCGAGATCAGTACCTGTCTCTGGTGTTTAACTAGCTTCTGGGAACCTGTTCCCCACACTGGATTACCTTGCCCAGTCTTTATAGAGGGGATGTAGATAGGCCCTATCTCAACTCAGTGTGCAGGACCATGGGAGTCTGCCGCTTTCTGAATGGAGACAGAGGAGGAGTGGGCAGACGGGGAGGGTTGTAGTTGGGAAATGGCAGTGGGAGGGAACAGGAGGAGAGAAGGGGACAGAAACTGTGGTTGGTATGTAAAATAAAGGAAAAATGTTAATTAACAGAAAGATCGTGGATGGAAGGACAACTCTCTGAATACTAATCACAACACAAGATGCTTTTTTCCATAAGACAATGCACAGCAAACCTGGAACAAAGGTTTGAACAATGAAAATCTTAACTCTGGGTTGGGATGACAGACCTTTACAGTCACATTTTAATTGTTGTTGCTGGTATTGTTTTTGTTCTTTTTCTTATTGATATAGGGTCTAACTGTAGCCCTCACTGTGTTGGAATTCACTCTGCAGAGCAGGCTGACCTCAACTCACAGAGATCCTTATGACTCTACCTGAGTGCCAGGATGATAGGTATGCACCACCACCAAAGTTATTTTTAATTTTGTTATCATACACTTGCTGAGTATAAAAATACTTATATCACAAATAGGAAACTATGCTGCCATAGACCACACAGGGATTTGGAGGTCAGAAAAAGGTAATTCCTTTTATTCTGTAAGCCCAAGGCTTAATGAGCCAGGAATTTCCTGTGCTAGAAAACAGTATTGAGAGTAAGAACCCTACAGGCCTTATCAGAAGCCCCAGCAAATTCTAGTTATGTGTTTGCAGGTGGAACAGTTAGCTAAGAGGGGCGAGCAACAACGCATCAAGGTGACAAACCAGAGATAAAGTTGTGACTATCATGACTCAGCAGAGGCTGAGCTAGTCCCTGGCAGAGATAAAATTGTGATAAGCAGGACTCAGCAGAGGTTGCTCCTGTGACAGAAAAGCTTCATGGGTGCCTGGCCGTGGAATACAGTCACGGTTTTCTATGCTCACATGATCACCGATTCCACCTCCAAGCAGGAGAGGCACAGACTAAAGACAAGTTTCCATTCTACTGCACGGTAAGAAGCACAGCAGCACTGGCAGCAGGTGGTGCACGGAAGCAGAAACTCAGCACATGCCATGGGCTCAGAGATGCGAATGACAAGTGGGACAGAATTCCCGTTTACTCCGGATAAATCTAAACGTGCTCGGAAATTAATTTTGGAGATTTAAAATTAACTGACTTTAGTGCTATTACCTCTCCAAGTGAATTTCCTTGAAATCTTGTCCAGAAACTTTATGAATGGAAGCAAATGGAGCAGAGGTGCCCATGCATTCTTTCAAAAATGAACTCTAATTTAGGTGGCATGAAATTATTAAGGACCACTGAATGTAAGAGGTAGAAAGAATTTATCTAAACCTGTACATTGAAAACTTATTTGAACATTTAACTTGATAAAACATTCAGAGCACATTCCTAATTCTAGCACTTGGAAAGCTGAGGTGGCAGGATTATGAGTTCAAAGCCAATCTGGACTACAAAGTAAGAATCTATCAAGTAAAACATACACTACCGTCGGGCGGTGGTGGCGCACGCCTTTAATCCCAGCACTCAGGAGGCAGAGGCAGGTGGATCTCTGTGAGTTCGAGACCAGTCTATAGACTGGTCTATAGAGCTAGTTCCAGGACAGGCTCCAAAGCCACAGAGAAACCCTGTCTCGAAAAACCAAAAAATAAAAATAAAAAATAAAACATACACTACCACCACCATGCAAAACATACACCACCACACAAACTAACACACATCTGCACATACACACATGAACACAAACCCACAAGAAATGATAAGGAAAACAAAAGCATTCTACCAGCTTGCCAAACTGAAACCTCTTCCAGAGTCATCTAACTTTGAGTATAAAGGAA